CTACCCTCAGGTTTCGTCTCGCCCACTTTCCACTTTACATCGGTACAGAACTAGGTCTTTTCGGGTCGGATGAGTTCACGTGCCAGGACACGTTCCTACGGTTCTGAACACGTGCTGACGGAGAAGAGGTGATGAGTTTAGTAAGAGACAGGTGAGGGTTTCTAGAGAGAATTGGAGAAACCGAAAGGGTTGGGTTTGAGAAGAGATATGAATATGGAGGTGGAGAGAGTTTTCAAAATCTAGTTGTTTAAACTCACGTTCGTTTCGGCACGAACGTCTCCAATTTGACACCTGCCCACACAACTCTGAAATGGAACGCTTCTCCCGCGACAGGTTGCGTGTGTTGCATTGCAGGGTTTGGTCGTTTTTTAAGTTCTCAGAAAACAATGTATGGGCGCAGCTTTCCGTGTACGACAGAGAGAGAGGGGATCAGATTGAGGTAGTCGGGTTTACTGGTGAGAAATGATTGGCGTTTGCTTAATGGTGAGGATGTAGAAATATCTTTTGCTAAATCAAGGGTCTTACAAGGCCAACTTTAGCCCATCGGTGGAATGAAAGGAAAACTCGCTACCAACTTATATATCTTTTTTTTTATACACTACACCTACGCTGCACAAGACCGTATCAGCATCGTTAAAATTATAAAAGTTTCAGAGAGAACATCCTTTTATCTGGCACCATGAACGATTAGCTAGCCTTGTTCAAAAAACAAACAATCTTCAGCATACTACCATGGCAAGAAACCATTCAAAATGCATCATCAAGATGGAATGAAAAGACATTATTTGCTAGCCAGATAAACAAAATTAACTTGATCAACCAAATTGCTAACAACAAAATGACAAAGTTGTCGATGTTTGGAAGAAGAGATATACGTCCACCAATTATTATCCCAAACATATTTTACAATCAATGGCTTAAATAAACTCGTTTAAATGTAAATTTTATGATTTAAGTTTACATAAACATTACCAAAAGAGACTAACGTACAAAGTAATAAATTTAGATATTACAAATTTATTAAAAACAAATACCCGACTGCCTCCATGCCCTCTTTTATAACTTATCCAATTTCTTTTAAAACCCCAATTTAATTGTCTATAAAAAAAATAAGGTGGTCGACAAACTTCTATTTCCGTACCTATTGAAATTTTTCATAGCATCTAACACATCCCCCACTATGTCTACTCTAATTCATATACACTGAACTGTATTCTTTCTCGCCTTTCTAAAAGTAATTAAGTAACCATATCATCTTCTGCACTATCCAAAACTTATGAAATTCAAAACTTATCAATCCATCTTCTATGGCAAATAAACTATGATGAAACCATACTTACTTCAGTACATCTAGGTTCAACCAGCTATTGTTTTAAGCAGAATAACATCTTCAAAGAGAAAATACAAGTAACCAGACTGCCTAATCAGATATTCAAGCTTAAACACATTGCTTTTTAGATACGAGCACACATGCAGTAAGATTTCCAAGTACTCATATCCTCTCCATATCAAGCAAGAATGCATATTAGGATCATACACAGCATGATTTTAAAAGATACAGGACAACCAAATAATACATGTAACTAAATAACAATTTTATACCAAATTAATCAGAAGAAAAACTATGGAAAGCAGAGGAAAAAACTAAGTCAAGTAATTACATCAAATATATGCTGAAAAGAAATTGAGGAGAAAAAAATCAATCATTCAAATTCAAGGGACAATAAACAAATATATCCATCAAGGGGAATGATCAAAACAGAAATTGCAGAGCTAATTAAACAAAAGTAGCATTAACTTCAGGCAAATTAGACATCATCACCAGAGAAAAAGACAAAATACAAGCCATGAATAACCAAACAAGATTGTCCCAATGCCTTTCGGTGTGACTGAGCCAAGAATGAAAAGTAGGCAAGCACACAAAGCTAATCCAACATCTTATACCCGACGCATGAATGGACCTGGATGTCCCCATAGTATTAGCTGCTCCATACAACAGATCATTTCTTCAATTAAAACCATTTCCAACTGCAATTAGAACAGGGTAAGAAAAGGATCATCAAAAGAACACAGAATATCATAGAGTTCACTTTTTTATAAGAATGTTCAATACAACATAATGAAAACAATATTGGACCAACAATTGTCAAACTAATCCAAAAATAATTGACTCAATCACAGAGTCTTATTCCTTTGTATAATCGCAACACCACAAAATAATTAAAAATTTAAGCAACAAATTGAAAAATTTATTATTACTCTTCAACACATACCTTTTGGAAATAAGTTCCCATAACTCTGGATAAGTACAACGTCCAAACTCAATGTCCTAAAACCCTTTGGCACACTCCTTCATATACCTGAGATTTATCCAAAATAATCAACCAAACATCAAAATTGCATCAAAGTAGGTCAGAGAAAACGTATCAAATTCGAAGTTAATAATGAATGGCAAATCAAGGGCGAGAAGATGGGGGTTTGATTAATACAGGTTCGGCGTCCCAGCGTGACAGATATATTAGCGGGCAGCGATCGGAGTAGACTAACATCATCCTGAAGCTGCTTCATGCTCACGAGGATCCCATCGATAGCGTCGCGACACCAGAGGCGAAGTCAGACAAAAACTGATTGTTCCTACTTCGAGCGGTGAGAAGCTTCTTCGTAGGCTCACCGATGTTCATGTGCATGTCCTTTTTGTTAGCTCTCCAATTGAACTCTCCATTCTCAATGCGCCTCTCTATTTCCTCCAAACCTTCGAGAATGGAGTTTTTGTCGCTCGCACTTTATCAAACCCTAAACAAAGAACAGTGAGTGTTTAGCTGAGCCTTGAATTAGAAGAGTGAAAGATTGTGACTGACCTAGTGAGCAATCGACGCATGCGCTCTTCTTCCATTTTATGCCTTGCTTGTAGAGTTGTTTGTCGAAGGAGATCGACTCCGTAAACCTCTCCTCGACGTCAGTTACACCTTCTTAGAACTGCTTCCATCTCCACTACGAGAGCAACCACAACCCACCAAAGCAACAAACGCCAACATAACCTGATGCATCCATGAGCATAGCCACAATTGCTATAGAAGAGAGAGAAAGGAATCGTAGAGAGAAAGATGGAGAAGAGAAAAGTGATTCGAGAAAAAGGATTTAGGATAGAATGTCAAAATTTTTATACCGATTATATTATCTGACCGGTGTAGAAATTAACAACGTTTAATTAATAGGTATGGAAAAAGTAATTTTTTACACCTATCTCCAGATAACCAGTACAAAATACTTATTTATTATTTTTTATTCCTGTTCTCAGTAAAATAGGTATAAAAAAAATTATTTTATTTACGATACTGTCATCGTATTAATTTTTATACCTAGTAAATTTCTAACAGGTTTAAAAAATGGGTATAAAAAACATATTTTACACCAGTGAAAGTAGATAACACAGTATTTCATCCACCTCACCACGCATTACACATATATTGTTGCCTACTAGGACTTTCTATGCCTCAAGTTAGGCTTAGTTGCCACTATATTCAAAATAAGATCTAAAGAAAACAGTATCGTTCCATTGTTGGTTACTTTTTAGCTTTTCATAAGTTGATCTTACTATATATGCATCCCCTCTACATCACACCACTTCCATTCATCTTCCTTTTCCACGTTTAGAGAAAATTGTTTTAATGACATTAGAATTGATATATACGGTCTTTCTCACTCAAACCATGATCTCTTCCACTCCACACATTTATTATCATTCCACCATCCCAATTTCCCTATTATAGCCCCTTTATTTTGTGCATTTAGATACATCTTAAGAAATGTATACATAAGAGGAAGATCTCCTAACCATCCCTTTCCAAAAATTATTCTTAGAACCTGTCTCTAATTTCTACTCCACATTCTCATTAAAGCACTCCCCATCTGCCTCATTTCTACACATTATCCTCAAATCACTACACTACCTTGATTGGTTAGTAAGATTACCAATATCATTCAAATTTCTCCAAGACTCATATTTGAATTCTAAGATTTCCTTCCACAGACCCTTATCTATTGTACTCAACTTTCATTTCCACTCGGCCAAAAATGTATTAGATAGTCCAATGTCCTTAATATCCAACCCTCCTTATTCCTTAGGTTTGCATATATTGACCCACTTTATCCATGTTATCTCCCTTCGCATTGCATCCCAACCCCATAAAAAATCTCTGTAGATTTGTAATGGTGTTGGATATCCCAGCTGGTGATTTAAAGAAGGAAAAATAATACAATGGGAGGACTGTAAAACAAATTTAATTAGACATGTTCTTTCTTCAAAAGAAAAAAACCTACCCATCCACCTCACTAGTTTTTTCTTAATTTTATTGACCACATTATCCCATAAGGTTGACTTCCTTGGATTTCCCCCATAGGTATGCCTATATACACAAAGGCACTATCGTTGATTTTATCTGTTCATTGTTGTGAGACTTAAAGCAGCTTAAGTCTGATCCTTCATTCTCTAAGACAGTCATAGAATAAAATAAAAGAGCAGACACATGATCGTGGAAGCAGTAGGGTGCCAGTGTAATTAGAATTTCAAAACTTTGTAATGATGCTCTCTGGAATGAAACTTTTGATAAACAAAATTAAATAGGGGCAAACACATGTAAGAATAAGAAAAGATAAGTGAAAAGGTTAACTAAATTTGAAAACTAGATGACAAAACTATACATAATTATTCTCAATGCTCTGACATAAAAACTGAGTGAAGATGATATGTTAGCTTAAACATAATCTGTTTACACTCTGTTTCTCGGATAGATTAGCTTGTAACCAGATACACAGCCCATGTTACAAATAAAATAAAATAAAGAAAGAAATTTATTCCGACCTGAAAGAAAGAAGACAGTGTTTTTAACACACAAGCATTTATTACTAGTCTCAATGATAATTTCTTTTTCACTCTACTCATATGGAAACCAATTATAATACAGATACCTCCATAGAAAATACAAAATCATTTCAAACTGTTGAATAAAGGCCATGACAAGTTTGGTCATGCCTATGGTATTTATAGCTCATACCTCGTGTTGTTATGTTCATCCTCGATTCTGTCCAAATCATACATATATATAAGTTTCGCCTAATTGTTCTTTCATTAAAATGAAAATGGAATGGGGCTGTACGATCTCCCCACTTTTCCTATTTGTTGAGAAAACAATAAATGAAATACATCATTGGACGAAACAAATAATTGGTCTTCCTAGACCATAAATAATGAACATATTCTGGTGCCCTAAACATCTTACTAATGCATTCTGTAATGCATTTGTAAGCAAGGAGAGGTGCCTAAACTATGACAGCCTATATCTGAGCAACAAGGAGTTCGTTCCACGTATCTGGAATACCAGGTAGGCACCAGTGCAAGCAGTCACTTGAATTAAGAGTTCCTCTAAAAGTGTAGCGCGACATGTGAGCCTCATCCCTCAATTGCGATAGGGCAGTTATGTCCAGTATTTTAATCTTTGTACCCTTTAGAGCACCTTCAATAGTTGTATCAGTAGACCCTTCTTCCATGATCTCACTTCCATTGGTTAAAGGTATAGTGTTATCACAGCTTCCACCAGTGTTCCAATCCCCATTGAAGAAATGCCTAGGAGATATAGTCCTGAAGAAAGCTTTGAGCCGAGGATGAGAAACAAGCTGCAAATCAAGCCACCGGGCTATACTGTAGATTGTTAAGTTTTTGGCATTTGCAATTACTTCAATCTGCTTGTCTTCATTTGGCTTTCCATTAACATGCATTATCCACCTGTTCGCAGTAAGCTTCCCCCTGTTCCAGTGGTGTCCTGTATTAAGAACCAAAACATCAAAGCGATGGAGGAACCGACTCATGAAAGCTGGGGGACGGTCTAAATGCATGGCAACGTTTGACAGTTTGTCTGAGATGTTAAAGGGCTGCAAATCACTTAAGCTAGCTGACCAATAATATAATATAGTGGTATTAGTCTTGGGAAATCTATAAGCCCAACCATCTGGACGAATAGCTCCACGTGCTTTTACCAAACCATACTCCCATCCCACATTTTGAACCTCTGGGCTCTCTTCCCCACCAGTGACCATACACATTAGAGACTGAAATTGTTGCCGGCCCAACGAATCTCCTATGAAAGCAATTGTTTTGTCCTGCATCCTACATTCCACATTAGTATCAAATACCACTCCCGTTATATTTTTTAACCCAAAGAAAAACAGAGAAAGGTAAAGACAAAATTACTAGAAATTATGATTTAAGCAAACAGAGTACAGACTAAAATAAAAAGTAAAATGATGCAAGGTTATTTATGTTTGTCGTAAAATCATAAAGCTTTTAAGCATATTTACATATAAGCAATTGAATAAACGTAGCAGGCAAATACTTTGAAAGATGTTGTTAGGAATCTGGGCAAGAATCCTAACTATCTCACTCACTCACACACTTCAGTAATCTCAAAACAAGAATTGGGTAAAGAATTGTATGGTATTCACAGCAAAAGAATCAAGAATACAATGGGATACCAGGAGCTTAACCTCCTTCACCAGGTTCTGAACCGGTCTACACACTCAAGAATCATAATTGTCTAACTGAAAACAATAAAAGATGTCCTTTTATAAAGACCCTTTTCCCGCCCCACTTAACTGTTTAGCAGTTAAGTACTCTTCCTCACCTTTCTCCTCTCATATACCTTCCATGTCCTAACAGATGTGTTATGAATAACTATATCTAAGAAGAAGAAAATATTATACCTACTTTCTCAAGAACGCAGACCGGTTAAACTCTTGCATTTCACAATTTTCTGGTTGCCAGCGATATCCCTCAAACGAGAAATCTGGTCGTTGTGTCATTCTGCATGACCACATTGAGGATAACCATTGCTTACAGTTGAACCCAGAATACAGCGGCCTCCTGCTATCGGCAACCCACTTACCCTTGGCATAATTACAAACTGCAAAAGGAGAAATCCAATCAACATAAATCCAGCCAGAGAATTTTGTTGAAGATACAAGGCTTAAGCATATTAAACCAGGAAAAGGCATAGAATCTTCAAACTATTTGCTAATTTTCTGGGGCATTAGTTGGAGTAATTGTGGCAAATGTCACCAGTTAGAAAGTCTAGATTGTACTGGTAAACATGTAACTACAAAGAAGATGCTAATCTCTGGACTAAGAAACTATTACCCTCTTCTGATAAGACAATCATCTAACAACAAAGTAATAAACAAACTACGAGTGCTCCTTTACGGGGAAAATGTTCTGACAACTCAAGTTTCAGATACTCTAAGATTAAATATCAATAATCAATTATGAGGCACCTAAAGGGTATAATTTATTAATAGTCAAAAGATAATAAAATCCTGCACAAATTTTGATCAAATATAAAAGTGTGTATAAATACTATTTAAACATACAATCTCTAAAAATAGTGAAGATCTTTAAAATAATAGGAAAACTAAATTCTATAATAATATAATGTTCCCAGAAATACTATAGTCTTTCAATATGCTTAATCCATTCTACATCAGGAGGAGACTCTTAATAAGAGTTCAGCCTTCGTTTTTTTAAGATCTCAAAATACTTCCCAGAATATGAGTTATCAACAAACTTTAAGATTTGAAAATAGAATTCAACTTCTGGGGGTGATGTTGAAAAAATTCATGGATATCATGATAGTGGAAGGTGGAAGTAATACTTACTACAAAACTTGAGAAAGAGAGAGGAAAAAAATTGCTCCAGTCAAACAACTTAAGATTCCCAAGGAAATAACCAACTTCAAAGAGAATATCAAGTTCCAATATTAAAATGCTTGAAATGAATCTGTTACATTGTTATCCAATTTGAATTCCGCATAAGCAACCAATTCAAAGAGAACAAAATGTTTTAAGAAATTAGAAGCTGTTAGAGGAAACATTTTTATGTCATTGTTATCTTCAACTTGTATCCTACTTAAGCAAGTACTAAAAATAGATAGGAAAATGCTACTTATCCAGAAAGTTTGATAGCAGGGGAACAATAATCTAGTGGGATACTTCTTGACTCTACGGTAGATGAGGGATTCCATTAGTTTGTCTTATTAACAACAACCCTTAAGTAGCAAAGTTGTTCACTTTGTTTAGTGTGTACAGCGTAGACCAGTAATCAGTAGCCAGAGAGCAGCCCAAGCAGATTCTCAAAAGCAGTGATTTGAACGGTTCCCAGAAAACAAGTACTTGCAGAACAATGATGACAGTAGGTACATATTCATAGAGTGGAAGAAAAAGTTAATTATAATGAATTTAAGAATAGAACAAAAAGAATCTACCTTTACTTCTAGAAGAAGCTGTGATATTTTGATTGTATTGAGTTTTTGGAGATTCTGCAGGTATAGAATCCATAGCTGCCATACCCTCAGAATCAAATTGAAGTTTTGTTCCATTTTCTGTGGTTGGGGTTATGGATTTTTCCCCACCCTTTTCCAGTGTTGGAGTTCCTGTACTTCTGGAAGAAGGAGTGAAATTTTGATTGTATTGAGATTTTGGAGAGTCTGCAGGTATAGAATCCACAGTTGCCACAACCTGAGTATCAAGGTGAATTTCTGTTCTATTTTCTGTGCTGGGAGTAGCGGATTTTTCCACATCCTTTTCCAGTGTTGCGGTTGCCACAGATTCAATAGGGGCTTCCGCTGAAGATGCATTCATAAAGAAAGTCCTCAGTGTACAGTTAATAACAGAAAATAGAAGAATTAGGTAATGGTAATTACAAAACACAAACAGAAAATGGTAACAAAACCAACAAGAATCAATTAATTATTAGTCAATGGAACAGTGATGAACAGATCCAACAAAAGGCAAATACAATTGAAAATGTCAAACTTATTAGGGAAATTGACAGACACACATGCAGTTAACAGTGTTTATTTTATACCATGGAAATTGTTAGGGACCAATACAATGTGTCAGGAAGGACAGACCAGAGATTGTATACTAGAAAAAAATAAAAATAGCAGTGTTGTTAGGCTGGAAGTTGGACAGTTAGTCAATTAGGAGAGTAGCTTATAGAAAGAATAAATAACAGAAAGTGTACATAGGAAAAGGGTATTGGGAAATCATGGACTAAACTGAGCACATTACTCTGTTGTAAGGGAAAATCCTTGGAAGAGAATAGTCCCTAATTTTGTAATAACAGTGACAAACTATTCCTTCATGCTTACTTTCCCTCTAAACCTGTTAACATTCTGTTTTGTGTTTCTAAGTTTCTATCAGAAATTCTACAAGGCCAAAAAGCAATAACTATTTTGAGCATGTTTGGATGAACTTCTCCATTAGCTCTTTTAGAAGAGAAAAACGAGAAGAAAAAAATTAAATTAGCTTATTTATGAGCTAAAATTTACAGAAGCTATATTAGAGAGTTTCTACAAGTCAGCTTATGCATAAGTTAATTTTAGCTTATAAAGAAGTTAATTTCAATTTTTCCTCTGATTTTTCTCTCCAAGAAGGAACTTATGGAGAAGTTAGCCCAAACAGATCCAAAGAGATATCAACATCCTTATCAATTAAGTCTAAGTTCAAGAACGTTATCCAGCTTCTATAAGCTATAATTCATCATATGAATGTTAAGATCCTTATTGATTGATTAGTAAGTTAAAGAACTAGGACACATCAAATTCCAAAACTATTTAAATTATTATTAATATCAATATCTGAACACGCTAAAAAATAAGAGGTAAAAGCATTCCTCCTTGTAAAATATTCCACTTCTAAATCTAATCTTGGAGCAGCTTTCGATTTTAGATTTTGTTGAAATACGGCATAAATTGGTTCAAACTCAATCTGTCAGTACCAAGGATCAAGAGAACAGAGGTGGTTAATGTATTATGCATTTCCATGCTAGAGTACAAACCTGAAGGTAAGTTGTACCATTCTTGAGCAGATCTTAAAGTCATAGCTATTATTGGATTTCTCTCCCATGTCCACATTAATGTGGTAAATAGAACAAGGGTAACCAGAGGCAGGAAAATAAACCTCCCTTTAAAGCTATAAATATGTCCTCCTTTCATTTGAGCTTAATCGATATAGAAAATACAGATCTTTGACTCAGACAGTACATTCAGGAAATATCTATCACACAATATCTCCAGTGACTCTAGTTGTTCCAGAGGCTTATCTGTGTAAGTATAAGAATGAAGGGATCAGAAAGACAAATAAAGACATGAAAATAAAAATATTTGGAGCTAGCTAGACATCAGTATTCAAGCAGAGAAGTCTATGATTCAGCAAAAAATGAAGCAAAGAAGTCCACATGTCTGCTCATTTTATCTTTCTTTCCTCCCAAACAATTTAAAAAATTATCTCACTTTCTATTCTTTTTCTTCCTTCCCTTTTTCTTCTTTCCTAATGGAACTGTCTACTACTGGAAAGTATACATACTCTTTTATTTGTACTTCACAGTTGAGTATATGTATCCTCTCTTGCACAGTTCGAATAGAAAACGATGTAATAAAAAAAATCAACACTCCGTACCTTGTTGTTTATCTCTCTCCTACTCGAACTTTTTGGTATTAAAAATGCCCCACTAGGAAGTTCAGTCTCATCCAACCCAAAAAAACGTTTTAGCACTCAGAATAGGCCAAGCAAACAACTTAAAATCACTTCCTTAGTACCGCATTTCATCTTCCACAAACACATTATTCACCTTCATAATCACACTCCACGCAAACAAACACACACCTCTGTCATGGACACATACTCAACTGATAACAACTTCCCATTGAACTGGGCACAAATTTTCCATTAAAACAGAATTGTATTATCACACCAAAACACGGATTTATGCTCATGAAGAAATAATCAGAGTGTGGATGTATTACCAGAGGCCAGACATACATCAGGAAAAATCAAACAAAATCTCCGTTAACAATTCATTAAGATCTCCAAACATCCAAAACCAACATCCAATTGATGTAGCCTTTTCTGCCTGCTAATGATCCGACTCGACCTATATATTTCCATGCACAATTGCAACAAAGACCTTCAAATTCAAATGCCTACTCTTAATTTATAAGTGAAATTAAAGCTAGAGAAACGGGAAAAAAATGCATGCAAATATTAATGTTAATAGTAACAAAAATTAGAAAAAGAAAAACAACAGAATAAGAACCTGTGGTAGTTGCAGGAGCAACTTGATTGGGTTGTGTAGGGTTTTTCACAATTGCAGATCCACTGCCTTTGTAGATGGAAAAGAGGAAGTTAACCCTGAGATTGATGAAGAAGATGAGGACGATGAAGAAGATGATAATGGTGATAGTGATGCTATTATTTTACTGGTTATGCTGGTCCGTGACTCACCGCCAGGGATCCAAATTGAAGAACCTTGTTTTATGACGAGATGAGGGATATTTCTGTCATTAAAATAATCAAATAAGGTACTGTGGGGATCGTGATTGCAAATGATGATTAATGTTCTTCTTAGGAGTCACAGCTTTGAAGAATAAAAGAATAAGTCTGGATCTTAACGCCTATAAACATACATTTTAATATTATTTTTCAATTGTTATATTCTTTGACCTGTTTTTTAATACTTTTTACATTTATCATAGATTACATAAAAATGGTAACAGTTGGTTAAAAAAATAATTTAAACGATAATATTAATTATATATTTCGTATTAATTTATTCTCTTTTAAAAACATACAAAAAATATAGGGTACAACAAATTATGAACTAAGTCAATTTTTAGTTTGTATAACTTTGTTAATGTGTAATTTATAGTCCGTATAAAAAAATTAAAGAAAGTTCTTTTAAGTTTTTAAAATTAATTCAGCCTCGTATACCACCCAGTTATTAAAAAAAATACTAACATATTTTTTGTGATAATACTTTTAAATTTTATAATTAGACACTTCGATTATTATAATACCTGAATAAGTAGCCAGAAATTAATATAATCAGAGGTCTCTGTTGATATAATAACAGAGATATCTACTTGCCTTTTTTATATTTCAACAAAACTCACATTTCTTGTATTTTTTAAATAGGTATTTACCTTTTTTCATATATATGATATTAGCTTTCTTTATTTTTTTATAAAAAAAATATAATTTTCTTATTCCTCAGTTCCATATTTATATTCTACCTTATGAATTTTTATATATTTTTTATTTAATTAATATGATTTCTTTAAATAAAATAAATTTCATTTATTAAAACCATAAAAAATTTAAATATTCATATAAAGATTTTAACACTTTTAAAATATTGGTTAAAGATCCATCAATCAATTTAAATATTGATTATAATTCAGGTTTTTAAATACATGTTATTGATACAGTAGAGTTATCACCTTATGTAACAAATAATCCAATTATCTGGGACAATATGTATCATTTATATTATCAAATCATAACCTTTTTAAATAATGTCAACACTATATTTTGTATTAGTAAACAAAACCATTTTTACTGAAAAATAATAATAAAGGTTGACTAATACATTTATAGTTCCACGCAGTGATGATTGAATATCTCAAGCTATTGTAATTTATTTTATTTTATTTTATTTTACAATTTTTTTATGTTCATTTTTAAGTGTAAATAAATATTTTTTTTTTGAAAAATCAATAAATATAATAATTTTCTTTAGTTCTAATAAAATTTTGATAGCATTCACGTAAGTTGCAACGCAACGAATATATACTTACCATTCTCTTTTATTGGGGGTTTTTCATTCTTCATTTATCAATTTTTAAGATCCAAAATATATACTATTTAAATGAGTTAATGAGTTTGGTACCTCTGGAAATATGTACCTTCATGCTTACTAAAAGTAATTCATTAAATTATGATTAAATGTAAACTAAAGTAATTCCTTATATGCTTATCAAAAGCTATTATTATGACCAAAAGGCATTGGAGCATGTTTCAAAACAAAATCATATAAACAAATAGTTTTGTTTTTTAAGAGGTAATTATGCATATATGGTTGTTTAGTTAGAAAGTATGATGTATAACAATTTTTTAACTCTTTCACAATTTATTAAAAAAAGTATGAGGAATAAGTTTTAATAATTAATAATATATTATGTTGGTAATTTATTAAATTCGTAATTTTTAAGTTAAATTCGTTCAAATTTGAATCAATTTCAGACCAATTTTGGAAATGTTAATTTATATGCATGGATGGAAAACGTCTACTCGTTATGTCCTAAAAATATGTTTCATTTGTTAAGTATATGTATAAAAATACCTGTCAATATTTATGAATATCCGTGAATACTTTTATGTATAAATTTTTTTAATTTTTAAACAAAAATATTGAAAATATAAACTTAGATAAAAAGAACACAACTTTTAAATACAATTTAAATTAGGTTACTCAATAAAATGTTAAGCGTAAATAAATTTAGATTTTTCTTAAAAAACTTAAATGAATTATGTTACAATATAAATTTAAAAAAAAATTATGATTAATTTTTCTTTTACTAATAGTTTTATTTCAATCACTTTAATTTAAAAAAATACTCAAATAAAATTTATTAATAAATAATAAATATTTGCATGTCATAATATCTATATCCACTCTATTAACAAATAATTAAATACCTATACTCCCTTACTAGGCATGTCTGTTAAAAATATTTACAAATTTTATTCTCTTTTATGTACTCAGTTAAAATATTCATGTAATATGTTTCACAATTTCTTTTACAATATATTTTTTACCATTTCTGACATTGTGTTTGTGTTAATGCACTTCATTTTCCTCACGCGTCCTTTTCAGTCTTTTTCCCAACCTACCCATGACACGTCACATTATGCAATCTTGTAAATTAAAAGAATAAAGAAAAAACAACCCACCGATTCAAAAGTCTCAAACATCTCCACTTGAGGTGGGAACCACGTTACAGATCTCAACGACCTTCGTTTGGTACGTGTCCAAACACTTCAGAAATATTATTTATTTTAAAAAAAGTAAAATCCAAGTTATCTCCTTAAAAAAATTATTTAAATTCGATCTGCAAATACATTATGAATGGCACGTTGAATATTTTTGTGCCTTAAGTTGTAGGCAACTCTTTTTAATAAACAATATTCATTTTTACGTGGAGATTCGAGACAGAGCACGTGCAGGTTTTTCTTAATATGACAATTTCCATTAATTAATATTGAAAAAAGAATATTACACTTTATTACCTATATACCCTCTCGAATTTACTGCGACATGGGTCTTTGTTTGGCATACGCGAACACGTTGAAATGTTGATCCCCACCGGTTTCACGCCATTCATGGGGAGGTCACTTTCTAATACATACTAGTATATTAATGTCTACTGATACTTTTTCTTTTTAATTTTATTTATTTTCTCTCACAAACGTCACATTCAGTAAGATTTCCATGTTTAATTACAACATAAATTCTTTAAACTATTAATATTTTAAATTTTTTATTTTGAATATTAAAAAAAAAATAATACAATTAACTCACGCCGCTGATTGAACGCATTCCTCCCATAAAGACAAAACGCTGGTGTACCCCATCCTCTCGTTTTATTATATCTATCTCAAAACACTTCCTCGTTGCACTCCATTTCCGTGTTTTCTTTCTGCGTTCTTCTCTTTTTCACTTTCGCCATGCGCGACACGATGAGTTAACTTCCTCCTCTTGCTTCTCGTATTCGGAACAGCTATAGGTTCGTCCAGTTAACCTTTCTTTCATTTCAAGCTATTCAGATCTACCGGCTATTTCAACGGAATTGCGTTTTTCTCTATTTAATTTTCGCATTCGCGGTTTTGCTTATTTCGATTGGACGTTTTTCTTGTTGCTTCCTTTTATCTTAGCATGCATTTTGCGTGACTTCGGTGCAGGCTTTTTTTTTTTTCCTGGCAGAGTAGATCTGCGCTGGAATGTTGTTGATTTAGAGTTGAACCCGTCTTTGTTTCTGTTTTCGGTTCGTTGAATGTCTTGAATCTTTGAAATGTGTCGGTTCCGTAATTCTTGGTAATGGAATCTTCGTTGTTGAATTTTTGTCATCCATTTTTTCTGGTTGTTTTATATGTTTCTAGCTCGTTCTTGTTTGTTGAATTTTGTTAGATCTGGTCGTTTTACTTTGTGAGACGATGTTCTCGGGTTGAGAGAGAGAAACATGCATCTTAATGTCTATCTTTGTGTTTCCTCTCAAATTGTGCAAGGCTTCGACAGTCGTCAAACGGAATCAATTTAGTGGACCTTCTTATAACTTGTCAAATTCAGTCGTCACCTTAAGTTTTTGCCAATTTTTGTTATTATTTCCAGATTTATATTTATTTTTTCGTATGTATTTATTTTTTCATCTAACTGATGAATATTGGCAATTGAGTGAATGTATTTGTCTTTTTCATCTAACTGCATAGATATTGGCAATTCAGAACTGATCCATGCCTAACAATTTGGATGGTGTTAAATTGTTGTTTGGCTTATGTTGCAGGTCTAAACTATCTGTGAACAGTTGCTCCCTCAAACAACATGGCTCAAGCTAAGTATACTAGAATAGATAATATTAATAATAATAATAAGCGATCGGCAACGAGCTACCTTTCGACAGTGACTATTGTCGTGTTTGTTGCTCTTTGCTTGTTTGGTATTTGGATGATGACGTCATCGTCTGTAGTGCCTGTGCAAAACGTAGATATGTCTCAGGATAATAAGAATGAGGGGCAGGATCAGAGTGGGGTGAAAGAACAAAGCGAGGTGCAAGAACAGAGCGAGGTGACAGAACAGGCAACTGACCCCTCTAATAAAAGTTCTCAACAGTTTGAAGAAAATCAGGGAGATCTGTCTGCTGATGCAACAAAAGGGGATAGTAGTGTGGAACCTTATAAAAGCTCTGACGAGCCAGAAAAAACAGAAGATAAATCGGACGAAAAGTCTGAAGAGAAACCTTCTGTTGATACAAAAACAGAAAATCAAGATTCAAATGTTAGCGAGAGGAAATCAGATTTTGATGAGAGCGTGAAGAAATCGGATTCTGACGAAAGCGTGAAGAAATCAGATTCTGATGAGAGCGTGAAGAAATCAGATTCTGATGAGAACGATAAAAAATCAGAATCCGATGGGACTGAAAGTAAACCCGAATCAAATGAGAACATGCAGTTCGATTCATATTCAGATGATAAGAAATCTGATGATGCAGGTGAAACACCAGATACGACCGAAGAAAACGTGGAACAAACTGGTACCAAAGACTCTGACGAAAATTCCGATAAGAAAACTGATGACACTGCCAACAACCAGGGTTCAACTGATGCATTCCCTTCTGTAGCTCAGTCAGATCTTCTGAATGAAAGTACCCCGCAAAATGGTTCTTTTTCGACTCAGGCATCAAAGTCAAATAATGAAAAGGAATCTCAAGAATCCTCCAAGCAGTCTACTGGGTACGATTGGAAACTGTGCAATGTCACTACTGGCCCTGATTTCATTCCATGCCTCGACAACTTGAAAGCAATCAGTAGTCTTCCAAGCACCAAACACTACGAGCACAGAGAAAGGCAATGCCCCCAAAAACCTCCTACCTGCCTTGTCGCTCTTCCTAATGGATACAAACGCCCGATTGAATGGCCCAAGAGCAGAGAGAAGGTAGACAATGACACAAATGCTTGTCAGTTACCATTCTTTGTTTAAAATTTTATTCTTTCACTAAATAATAAACTGTTTTCCTGCAGATATGGTATTCTAATGTTCCACACACTAAGCTTGCGGAATATAAGGGGCACCAGAATTGGGTGAAAGTAACTGGCGAATACCTTACTTTTCCAGGTGGTGGAACCCAATTCAAACACGGTGCACTTCATTACATTGACTTCATACAACAGGTAAATAAATGTATACCCTATTCTTGTCAGGTTAACTGTTAGTTGCTTTTACTAGTGTTGAGATTTTATATATAAATCTGGAGAAAAAATTGCTGCATGTTACTATATGTTGTATGTGCTATACAACTTATTAGATTTTATACATATTAAATGTTTGTACATTTTATTTAAAACTTCATAATGTAATTCCTTAACGTGTGCTCTAAAGGCACTCATTAGGGAAATCATAAAACAAAATGTTTCCTGTTGATCTAACATTCATATTTCTTAGGTGAATGGTACGAGATTAATTTTGTCTGACGTCTGACATTAATATTAACATTGATATTCAAAGCAAAGAAAATATTAGATATTATATTAGCATTAAAATAAGTGATTGCAATTTGTTCAATGTCTAACCTTTTGGGGTTGGCGGAACCCTGATAGATTGGAACTTTAAACAAGATGATGTTACTGACTGTACTATGGGATTTGAGGTTCTACATTGAGCTTCTCTGACAACTAGAGAAAAAAATGCTAATACAAATGTTAAATTTTTGTTTTGTATTATGCATATATGTGTGCTTGGAGACAACCAAAATGTAACAAATAGAAATATCAGCATAATTTTAACTTCTGCCAAAAGAATTCTTTGGCAATATGAGAACTTAGACATGGTAATGACTAAAAGAAATTATGCTTTATGTGGCTGTGATATGTTTTCTTTTTTGATGTTGAGTTTTGCACTTAATATACGGAACATTGACGCTGCAGTCTGTGCCTGATATTGCTTGGGGCAAACGCACACGTGTGATTTTAGATGTTGGATGCGGTGTTGCCAGCTTTGGCGGCTTTCTCTTTGAAAGAGATGTACTTACAATGTCAATGGCACCAAAAGATGAACACGAAGCTCAGGTACAATTTGCACTTGAAAGAGGGATTCCTGCTATATCCGCTGTGATGGGCACAAAGAGGCTTCCCTTCCCTGGGAGAGTATTTGATGCAGTCCATTGTGCACGCTGTAGAGTTCCTTGGCATATAGAAGGTAGAAACGACCTAACTTTGACTTTGATTAGATAAATTTTTTGTTCATACAAGTTTGAAATTTTATGTAGCGTTGTGGTGCTTTCCCGCGGCTTGGGCATTTAGGTATTAAGAGAACTTCTATATAGAGTGTAATAGATGTAAAATTCATATAAATTTAACTGGATTTTTTTCGGACTTGCTCCTTGTATACGTGTAGGTGGGAAACTTCTTTTAGAGCTGAACAGAGTTTTGCGACCAGGTGGTTTCTTTGTATGGTCTGCTACTCCTATTTACCAGAAGCTTGCTGAAGATGTTGAAATATGGACAGGTAGACAATGATATACTGTTGTCTGCCTCTGTTAATCAGTTTAACGCTGCTGCATTAGTTCTGACTTTTTCTGAATTAATTTGCAGATATGAAGAAACTAACAAAAGCAATATGCTGGGAACTAGTGTCCATCACCAAGGATAAACTTAATGGAGTTGGTATCGCTGTGTTCAAGAAGCCAGATTCTAATGAATGTTATGAAAAACGTTCTACTGCTCAGCCTCCTATGTGTCCAGACTCCGACGATCCTAATGCAGCATGGTATTTCTTTGTTAATTGACACATCAACAATGTTTTCTTTAAAAATAAAAAACAGAAAAAAGGAGTTTCATACTACGTTAATTGTTGATATTCATCTTTCACTGGAATATAAATATTGTATATATTTCTAGTCAAGGTTTAGTTACTCCTCTAGATTTTATATTTGCACAATTTTATGCTTTAATCCCTACACCTAAAAATTATTCACTTTAGTTTCTAGGCATACATTTTTTATTTTCTCAGTCCCTTCACATTTTTTAATCTGTTTTAGTTTCTACATATATTTCAGTCTACTTTTAGTCCTTGGTGTCCAAATTTGTCGACTAAAACAGACTAAATTGTGTGTTAAAACTAAAATGAGTAGAGACTAAAGTGTAAAAAATGCAAATTATAGGGACCCATGCGTAATTAAATATTTATTCAATTTTCCCACAGGGAACATGTGTGAAAAACATACAGTCACAAATCAAACGTTGTGCGGTTATTTTGTTACAATCGGATTCTGCTACAAATGAACAAATGCTTTATTTCTGTAGTTTCTACCTTTTCAATCTCCCCGCAGTATTTATTTTATAAGATAGAACATTGACAATCTCACACTACTTTTTTTAAACTTCTCCTGTGCATTAATTGGATCGTTATCATGCACCCAAAAAGGTGTAAGTATATATAGCTGCTACCTAATCTCTCTGTCTGCAGGAACATTCCATTACAAGATTGCATGCATAAAATACCAGTGAATTCAACAGAACGTGGGTCACAATGGCCAGAAAGTTGGCCAGCAAGATTGACCAACTCACCTTACTGGCTTACAAATTCTCATGTTGGAGTTTATGGAAAGCCCGCCCCTGAAGATTTTACTGTTGATTATGAACACTGGAAACGTATAGTGTCCAAGTCTTATCTTAATGGGATCGGAATTAAGTGGTCCAATGTGCGGAATGTCATGGATATGAGAGCAGTATATGGAGGGTGAGCGAAATTTGATTTCCCATTTTTCTCTGAATTATGCCGCTGTTATAGCCACTTTGACAACTTGTTTTTTGTGTTACAGGTTTGCTGCTGCCTTGAAGGATTTGAATATTTGGGTCATGAATGTGATTTCAGTGAATGCTCCGGACACGCTTCCCATTATTTATGAACGTGGTCTCTTTGGCATGTACCATGACTGGTGTGAATCATTTAGCACCTATCCGAGGTCCTATGATCTACTTCATGCAGATCGACTATTTTCAAATATTAAGAAAAGGTGCTAACAACTATTTCATTTCTAATTGGTCACCAGTAATATGTATTATATGCTAATGTTCTACGGCCATGCAGGTGTAATTTGAGAGCTGTAATGGCTGAGGTTGATAGGATTCTTAGGCCTGAGGGAAAGCTTATTGTGCGGGACACTACTGAAATCATTAACGAGATAGCAGCTATGGTGAAGTCCATGCAGTGGGAGGTTCGCATGACTTACTCTAAAGATAAAGTTGGCTTTTTGTGTGTCCAGAAGTCTACGTGGCGGCCTTCGGAATTCGAAACACTCGAGTATGCTATTGGCAAGTTATCAACATGATTGTTGGGTTTTCGCTGTCCAAAATTCTTTGTACCTTTACTTCCGCCATTATTTATGTATAATTATAGTTAGGCATTTATGTGCTCTTTTGATTTTCCCTTGGTAACGAATTTTGATCCCTGTTACGATTTGTGTCTTTTGCTGTAACATGGTGCTATACAGTCAAGAAAATTTTATCATATTCTTTCAAATGTAGAGGCTTTTGGTAATTAGTTGAGATTCTGGGGAGTTATAGGGAGTTTTTCACCATAATTGGTGGTACTTATGTCATTCAATAATGGACAGGAGCTATATGCTCTTGATTCAAATATCAAATACTGGAAGTAAAGGTTTAATATTACTTATGTCTTAAAATCTTTCCCTATAGAAAATAAAAGGAGCATTGTAATGGGAACCCATGATTCTGTTTTACTAAAAAGAAAGAGGGAAGGGGTCGTGTTGATCTGTTCGCTGAACTAAATCATCGCGTTTCATATTTTAATCACCACACTAGAAAGACTAGGTTTTCACAGGACTTTTTGTTCGATTTAGTATGATGAGGAGGTATGATTGTACCAGTTTTTGGTCTGTGTCTACCGATAAACATACACATTTGGTAGCTTTTTGTCCTTCTGCTAAGTGTGTTCAAGCCATCGACAACCTAGCACATCAGTTTTATACATACTTCATCATTCTTAGCTCGTTTCTTCTTATTTTTCCGGATTTCATTTTTTAAAACCTATCAATTTTTTAAAGGATAATTAAAATTAAAACGACAGTTTTATGCTTCAAACTACTTTTTCTATGTTTCTTTTCTTATGTTTGTTACGCATTTGTTTTCTTCGTAATTTTTTATTTTTCATATTATCTCTTCTTATATTTTATAACGACCATCCGTCTATAATCATAATAAAAGAAATGAGAAAAATCTCGAAACAAAGAATATATAAAAAAAAATGTCTAAAATCCAAAATTTAATTTAATTTATTTGTCAAATAACGCCATCCAAAATTTTAACTATTTTATGTGATAAGAATTTAGAGTACTTTCAAGGTTTATGTCTTTGCTTATTAACGACAATGTGGTATTCAATGTGTGAGAACTAAAAATGCTACATAATAGTTATGTTGGTATATGCAAAATACATTCCATGATATCCAATTACTATTATGTCAAAAGATAACTTAACATCTTAGCTAATTACTCTAAATTACTAGTCCCAATAAACCATATAATTCATGGTATGTATATCATGCGAAACTCCAAATGAATACATCCAAATATAAAATTTGGTGCCAAAAAATTAAGTTAAAATACAAATTATAATTTATCAAGTTGTCTTCATGAGTTCATTCTTTGAAATATATTAGAAAGTATAGTCGGTGGAATATTTAGTCTCGAAATTGTAAAATTTTGTAGATGGAATTGTTTGACCATTTATAACAAATTTGGTTGGTACATATTGTTTAACCAATGATCATGAAATTGGTATTTGTTTACCATTCCATTTTAAGTGATTTCAAATTCTTTTCTAAATCACAACCTTTGGTGTAATTATTAAACAGATTTTGGNGTACTTTCAAGGTTTATGTCTTTGCTTATTAACGACAATGTGGTATTCAATGTGTGAGAACTAAAAATGCTACATAATAGTTATGTTGGTATATGCAAAATACATTCCATGATATCCAATTACTATTATGTCAAAAGATAACTTAACATCTTAGCTAATTACTCTAAATTACTAGTCCCAATAAACCATATAATTCATGGTATGTATATCATGCGAAACTCCAAATGAATACATCCAAATATAAAATTTGGTGCCAAAAAATTAAGTTAAAATACAAATTATAATTTATCAAGTTGTCTTCATGAGTTCATTCTTTGAAATATATTAGAAAGTATAGTCGGTGGAATATTTAGTCTCGAAATTGTAAAATTTTGTAGATGGAATTGTTTGACCATTTATAACAAATTTGGTTGGTACATATTGTTTAACCAATGATCATGAAATTGGTATTTGTTTACCATTCCATTTTAAGTGATTTCAAATTCTTTTCTAAATCACAACCTTTGGTGTAATTATTAAACAGATTTTGGAACTTATGTTTAAAGTTAAGAATACCCAAATAAGAAGGTACATAACTAGCTATATGTCACAAGAATAATATATATGACATACATTTGACATTATCTTGTTGCTTTGGTCATGGCAATATCTTGGTCTACAATAACTGTTTCTAGTTGTTGGTTTTCCGTACTTTCAAAGATCACTTTGAATAACCAACTACGAGAAAACCGTCGTTTCATCAAACAAAGTATAATCACCAAAGATGACATTTTGCCATTGATGAATTACACCAATAAATGATGCACAAATTAAGTTATACTCATCATAAGTGGTGTAAAAACTACAACACTCTTAAAGCAATTATAATCATTTTTGGATCTACCATCTCCCTAGCTAAAGCATATTAGTCAAGTTATTCTTAGTCTAGTTACACGTTATAATAGAACAAATGATCTTGTGTTTTTACTTAGTAAGAATGAATATTTCTAACTTCACTTATTTTCAGTTTTCTAATATAATATATATACAATTTTGTTGTCTTTCATTACTGTTACTATGAGCTTATAGCCGATCGAACGGTATAGGTGCAAGAGAACCTCTAAATTACTTTGGGCTCATGGTCGACCGAGTAGTAAAGGTGCACCGACCGAACGGACAACATGTAGGAAAAGGCCTCTAAGTCGTTCGGTCCTGACAACTATTGAGCAGAGTTAAGGCACAATAAATGTGATAACGGCTACTGTTAAACAGTTAAAGTTTGAATTAATGATCATTAAGAGGTAAATTCATTTGTTAGATTCCTTTAAATTCTATAAATAAGGGTTTAGGTTCGAGGTAAACTCACGTTTTAAACTCACTACAAAACTATAAGACCTATAGAGAACATTTTTGACTTGAGCGTCGGAGTGCCTTTTGCAGGTCACCCCCATTCAGTGTTCGGTTACCGAAACTAGGAGAGACAGAATGCTCAACATGCAGGATTAACAAGACCGATCGAAGCTTAGAGCCAGGAGACCGTTCGACAGAGACTAGAGGACATTCGGCGGAGATCCTCTTCCCATTTCAGCAGAAACATTTTGGCGCCCACCGTAGGGCCAAGGATTTTCAAAGACACCCTAGCAAGACCATAAGGATGACTCAAGACCCAAGGGCGTTTATGCATGAGATGTAGAGGAGGATGGAAGCCATGCAGGCTGAAATTGAAATTTTAAGGGTCGAGCGGGATGCAGCACGTAGGCACCGTGACGCAGGGTGGAGGACCCCGACCAGTCAAAGGTCGGCTGCACCCACTCGGACACCCATAGTAGATTTCCCAGACTATGATCGGGAGGGAACTGATCAGGGGGAAAACAATTCCCGGAGCAGTCATGCCCAACGGTTCATGCCACTCGGGCTAGGGCTCTTCATCCGTTTACAACTACAATCATGAAAGGGCAAATGCCGGAAAGGGTGCTCCCAGTTCTGGAAAGGTATGACAGATCGGGGGACCTGGAGGAGCACCTGAGGTCATTTACTGACGCCATGGCAATCTATTCACCCAGTGAAAGGGTTTGGTGCAGGGTTTTTTCCTTGTCGGTTAAAGGAGAAGCTTTGGAATGGTTTCACTCTCTTCGTCCCAGAACCATGGATAGTTTTGCGACTTTGAGACATCTGTTTGAGTGGCAGTTCGCTTCCAATAAGACGCAAGACCTTACCTACATGGAACTTACTAAAATCAAACAGGGAAAAGATGAAGACCTCAGGGACTTCATGGACCGGTTCAACCAGACCGCACGACAGGTGAAGGGTGTTGATAAGAAGTTCATCATCACCACTCTGTCAACAACCTTGAGGTCGTGCTCCTTTGCGAATAGCCTATTTGCTCGACCACCTTTAACCATGGCAGAAGTGCAAGAGATGGCCGTTGAGTTCATTCGAATCAAGGAGCTGCGGGCGGTCCAAAAAAGGCAGCACAGAAAGAATGTTTCACCCTCGGCGGGCCAGGATCGAAAGGAGGGCAAGCGAGCGCGCATGCATGACCGAACGACATAATTGTGGCAAGAATAGAAATAAGCTTTCTACTAGTTTTTTCCAGTTTAAAAAATTGTGATGTAATTTGCAGATCGGATATTAGTATCAAATGACTTCCATTGAAATTTTGAGCAAGTTATATCAACCGTTCGACCTCGTCTATCTAGTAGCCTCAAGCGCTCGGCCATTCGGCCCCACGGTCTCGGCCATCTGGCCTCAACTGCTCGACCATTCTGCCTCACAAGTACTTAGCCAAATTCGGCATCAAGTGTTCGGCCTTTTGGCCTCAATTGCTGGACCATTCGGCCTTAGGTACTTAGTCAAATTTGGCACTCAGCATTCAGCCATCGTGTATCAACCGTCCGATTAAAAGAAAGGGTTCTAAAAAGAACTAAGTTCTGAAGAGAACTCTTTTCAAACCGCTCTCACATTGACATCTTCGACCTAGGGAACACTCCAAGTGAACTCCTAGTGTCGACCGAACAGTGAGGAACGCTCTTCGTGAACTTTCACCTTGATCTTAGGGCACGCTCCAAGTGAACTCCTAAGATTTAAACCAAACGGTGAGGAACGGTCATCGTGAACTCTCACCTTGATCTTAGGGCACACTTCAAGTGAACTCCTAAGATCTAAACCGAACGGTGAGGAACACTCTTCGTGAACTCTCATCTTGATCTTAGGGCACACTCCAAGTGAACTCCTAAGATCTAAACCGAAACGGTGAGGAACGCTCTTCGTGAACTCTCACCTTGATCTTAGGGCACGCTCCAAGTGAACTCCTAAGATCTAAACCGAACGGTGAGGAACGCTCTTCGTGAACTCTCACCTTGATCTTAGGGCACGCTCTAAGTGAACTCCTAAGATCTAAACTGAATGGTGAGGAACGCTCCTCGTGAACTCTCACCTTGATCTTAGGGCACGCTCCAAGTGAACTTCTAAGATCTAAACCGAACAGTGAGGAATGCTCCTCGTGAACTCTCACCTTGATCTTATGGCACGCTCCAAGTGAACTCCTAAGATCTAAATCGAACGGTAAGGAACTCTCCNTAAGTGAACTCCTAAGATCTAAACTGAATGGTGAGGAACGCTCCTCGTGAACTCTCACCTTGATCTTAGGGCACGCTCCAAGTGAACTTCTAAGATCTAAACCGAACAGTGAGGAATGCTCCTCGTGAACTCTCACCTTGATCTTATGGCACGCTCCAAGTGAACTCCTAAGATCTAAATCGAACGGTAAGGAACTCTCCTCGTGAACTCTTACCTTGATCTTAAGACACGCTCCAAGTGAACTCTTGAGATCTAAACCTAACGGTGATGAACGCTTCCGTAACTCTCCCTCAAGCGTCTTCGATCTAGGAAAAGTTCGAACTCCTAGATCCCCTATTCGGTGAGTAGTGCTTCTGTGGCTCTCACCTTAGCATTTTTTATCTGAGGGAACGCTCCAAGGGAACTCTTAGTGCAAAAACTGCTTAGTCAATAAAGAACGTGTGCTATTGTATGAATCATCATGACCCTAGAAACTCAGGTAAAATCCTGTGCCGATCAGTATAACTTTACAAACCCAATGCAATATCAAACATTTTGCTAGGGCTTGGGGGGCTTATGTTACTATGGGCTCATAGCCGACCGAACGGTACAGGTACAAGAGAACCCCTAAGTTATTTTGGGCTCATGGTCGACCGAGTGGTAAAGGTGCACCGATCGAACGGACAACGTGCAGGAAAAAGCCTCTCAGTTGTTCGGTCCTGACAACTAAGTAGCAGAGTTAAGACACAATAAATGTGATAACGGCTACTGTTAAATAATTAAGGTTTGAATTAATGACCATTAAGAGGTAAATTAATTGGTCAGATTCCTTTAAACTTTATAAATAAGGGTTTAGGTTCGAGGTAAACTCACGTTTTTAAACTCACTACAAAACTATAAGACCTAGAAAGAAAATTTTTGACTTGAACGTCAGAGTGTCTTTTGCAGGTCACCCCATTCGGTGTTCGGTTACCGAAACTAAGAGAGACATAACACTTGGCATGCATGATTAACAAGACCGATCGGAGCTCAGAACCAAGAGACCGTTCGACAAAGACTGGAAGATGTTCAGCGAAGATCATCGTCCTATTTCAACATAAACAATTACTAAAGTTTATCAAAATTTTATATAACTCCAAATATTTATAACTTTCAAACCAGTAGTAATCATCATAATACCAAAACTAATCATAGTTCTTTTTATTTCTCCTTATAACATATGATATGTTACTCATAGATTGCAACAAATGTCTTCGACAGAAAGTCATGGTTATGATCTTTCACCAATTTTGAACTGTACACAATCATTTCTTACTCACCCTAAGATGCATCACTGTTTTACAATTTGTTCTTTAATACGTCCCTCCATATAAGTTTCTTCTTCTTTTGGTTTACAAGCCTTTGAAACAAAAATCTTTCAAAATCACCTTATCATATAATAACTTCCTCCTTTTTCTTTACACTAAAACCCATTTTCTAAAGTATATATATGTTTGATATAAATCATAGACTTCATATCTATATGTATACATTCACTTTGTTCCATATTTATCCTATACAAACAACATTCATTTTTCAAAATTTACTTTATTGAAAGATAATATACATATATACATACATATATGATTATATACGTAATTAATATTTTAAATCTAAAATAACAAAACATAAAACAAGAAGCAGGTGGAGAAATACACTTATAATGACTCGATGTTTTCTCACTTTAATGGTTGACCAACATATATGCACACATACACACATATATATATCATTATCATAAATAATCTTATCAGTTATATATTTAATACATTTGCATAATATAATTATCGTAAAGTTGATTATTAGAACCAAAGATGAAAAGAATATATAATATAAACATAGTTGTTGATTTTGAATGAATATCACATAGACATATAAAGAAAGAAAGAGAGTTTTGGATGTCAATAATAGTATTGTAATCTAACATCTAGAGCGAGTCCGGTGGATTTGATTGGTGAAAAAATCCACTGCACTCATTTTTTTGTTTTCGAATTTTCCTTGTCTTAACCCTTCTTGCATGCCTAGTTTTATGCCTCTCTTTCAGTTTACCTACACAGTAATATAATATGCAACATAATTAAGTAATAAATATTATTCTTCTTCATTTCCTTTATCTCCAACATTTTCATGGAAGATGAGAGCCATAACACTTTGCCAAATGGTTTTAACTCTGCAAGCCCCATAAGCCCTTGCTTAAAGACAACCAACAACACAACAAACACCACCTCAACCACACAAAACAACAACATCAACAATAACCATAATAACAACAATAACCACAACAAAGAACAAGACCGGTTTCTCCCCATTGCCAACGTGGGAAGAATCATGAAAAAGGTTATTCCTTCCAATGGGAAAATCTCCAAGGACGCAAAGGAAACTGTCCAAGAGTGTGTCTCTGAGTTCATCAGCTTTGTCACCGGAGAAGCCTCAGACAAATGTCAGAGGGAGAAGAGAAAGACCATCAACGGTGATGATGTGATTTGGGCCATCACAACCTTAGGGTTTGAAGATTACGTTGAACCCTTGAAAATTTACCTTCAGAAATATAAAGAGATTGAAGGAGAAAAACTTAACATTCCAAAGCAACTTCGTTCTGAGCAAAGGCTACAACAGCACCAACAAAATAACAGTAACAGTAGCCAAGACGATAATAACCAACAATTCAATGGTGCATATGCCTCCACCAATCTCATTTCTCAGCCTCCATATGTCACCTCTGATCAGAAGTTTCCGTTACCCTTTTCCCCAAACTCCATTCAGAATCACCAGATTGATTCTGTGGGACACTGGTACGAATAAGATTAAAAAATCCACCAAG